TGCAGCCAAATAAATTAATTAATTTTTAAAAAACTACATAAGGCCTTAAAATATATCCATGTGCATGTAGGCGTGCCAAGTCACTTCAGTCATGTCTGGCTCCTTGTGACCCTATGGACTGTAGCCCGCCAGGCTCCTCTGTCCATGAGTTTCTCCAAGCAAGAATACTGGAATGGATTGACATGCCCTCCTCCAAAATACATCCATAGTGTGTATTATTTCAATATTCATTCATTTACAAATTAAGACTATATACCATTAATTTTCTTTTTCTTTCATTGTTCTACTAAAGCAGGATTCATTCAAGGAAAGGCAACTTGGTTTTGGGGTGAGCTTTATTATTTTACTATAATGGTTAATATAAAAGTTATGAATTAAACATTTTCTTATCTCCTGCATGCAGTAGTAAATCCATAAAATTCTTAGATACTAATTCAAAACAACAGGTCCTATTCTTAAAAATAGTTAAAGTGAAAAGGGACCAGAGTCTGATTGTGGTCTTAAAGAACATCTAACGGACTTCCAGGGAAAACCTGACTCAATCCACCATGCTTTCAGAGAAAGATCTTGATCAAAAGGGGGAAGTGTAAAAATTTAGTGACAGAAATCCCAATTAAACAGAGTTGGGAAATCAGCAGGAGGAGCATTCATGGACTGGGACAATAGCAGGGCCCAAGAATAAGAACTCTTTTTCCTGACAACAACTCAGCCAGGAAAAAGTCATGGGCTTCCTCATGAAGAAAGAAAATCTGAACAGACCTATAACAAGTAAAGGAACTGAAATATTAATCTAAAATATTCCCATAAATGAAAGCCCTAGCCTGTTTTTGTAGCTTCACTGATGAATTCTATCTAATATTTTGAAAAGACATTCAAAGTAGGGAAGACATTCTGGACTATCAATAATAAAAGTTCCAAAATACTTTTATCATAAGATTCTGTCTTGAATGTTACTAATATTTTACCAAAACATTTATTATTAACAGGAGTTTGCAAATTTAGCCAGTTTAGAATTCTTAACTGAGCACTTAAAGTCTTAAAGTTTTATATAAACAACAAAACAAAACCCAACTTGAAGTAGCCCTGAGCCTTGTCTTATGAGACATTTCCTCAAAAATCTGATTTATCCCTCCTCTACTTAAGGTCATCAGTTACATTAGTACAGCATTTATCAAGTAGGAGCAGAATATATTGTTAGGAATTTCAATCAGTTCAAGGATACCAATAACAACAATACAAACAGATCTGGAATCCCAATTATCAGGGTTAAAAGGGATTCCCAGATAACAAAGTAGTAAAGAATCTGCTTGCCAATGCAGAAGATGTGAGTCTGATGTGAGTTCAATCCCTCGGTCAGGAAGATCCCCTGCAGGAGGAAATGGCAACCCACTCCAGTATTCTTGCCAGGAAAATCCCATGGATAGAGAAGCCTGGTGGGCTACAGTCTGTGGGGTCACAGTCAGATGCAAAAGAGCACACCCACAACTATTATGTAAGGCTTTGGTACTCACACAGCTTTCTTTAAAACATAATTCCAGTGTTGTTTTTTTCTTACAAATAAACAAAAGGCCACACACACACAAAGAACGTGCTTAGAAGAATGACCAACACATACTCGCTGTATTAAAGGAGCGATTGTTTTTATTAGTGAAACGTCGTATTTTTCACAGAACTTCAGAATGAGAAATATGATTTTGGGAGAAAAGTAATCAGTAGTACCAAGGGTTTATTCTGGTATTCTTGTAAAGATACCAGATACGGTGGATTGGTGGCTTGAGAAAAAGGATGGGGCTAGCCTTAAAAGACCTGACTCTTGCCACTTCCCTCTGCTCCCCACATTCTCTCATCTCCAACCAGCTCATCACAATAGCCTCTGTCAGTTCCTCCAGTGAGTCAAATTTTTTTCCTACCTCAGGATCTTTCCACTGCTGTTCCCTCAACCTCAAAGGGCACAGAGCCTGGACTCAACAAATATTTGTTCAATAGCTAAATTTGGAACTCTTTTAAATGAAGATAAAAGTTAAATCCCTGATAATGTATGATGCTGCCACATAAGAAAATCTGAGGAAAGATGATGAAAGGTGTGACCACAAAAAAAGATGAATGAGCAAATACAAAGGAGTATGCAGAGGTAACCAGGAGAGCTGGGGTGAAATTTTTATTTTTGTTTTTTAATTTTTAACAATATTCTATTGGTTTCTGCCATTCAACAATACAAGTCAGTCATAATTGCAGTGAAGTTTTAAGGAGATAGCATCTTAAATCCTCAAGATTGAAAGAATCACTGTATTTGGCAATAATTTAGAGAAAGAACCCTGAAAAAGTAATTTTCCATGAAATTGGAAGGAGCATGGGGCACAGGTCAGATTGTTACAGAAAAATAAGTCAGCTAAAACAGATGAATTTACCAAAATTTAGTCTGCTTGATAAGGAAAATAAGTAGGATCCAAGAAAGGTGATTTTAGGGACAAACTGTTTTTTTGAGTGATCAAGACCAACTCCAAGAAAAAGAAATGCAAAAAGGCAAAATTGTTGTCTGAGGAGGCCTTACAAATAGCTGAGAAAAGAAGAGAAGATAAAGGCAAAGGAGAAAAAGAAAGATACACCATCAGAATGTGGAGTACCAAAGAATAGCAAGGAGAGATAAGAAAACCTTCCTAAGTGATCAGTGCAAAGATATAGAGGAAAACAACAGAATGGGAAAGACTAGAGATCTCTTCAAGAAAATTAGAGATACCAAGGGAACTTTTCATGCAAAGATGGGC